TGCTGAACTTAGTTATTAGGAAAATTCTATGTAGTTATTGTATATAGTTGCAAGAATCTTAATAAAGTACTAGTGTGGCTTCTTAAGAGCAAAAAAAAAAAAAAAATATTCATAATAAGTTGTATAAAGATAATAACATTTTTGACAATTCCAATATCACTTTATAAAAAAGTTCAAGAAACTAAACTATTTTATTAATTATTTTTCAATCTTTTGATTCTAAGTAGTTTTTTTTAAATTAGAATGAACTAATACTAAATAGTTTATTTTAATATAAGATAGATAAAATTCTATCTTGTTTTAATATTAAGTTCAAAATAAAGAAATGATCAATTAAATATTATAAAAATTTGTTTTTATTTCTTTTGTTTAGTAAAATACTTTTGCTTTTTTTTTATAACAAAGTTTAAAATATGTATGACATATCTTATATATATAAAATTAATCTTGAAAATAATATAGTCATATTTGGTTATTTGATATATTATCACCAATAAAGTCTAAAATTTTATCTTTTATTTCTAGGTCTTTTATAAGTTCAACTAATTTTTCTTTAAGATACATGCTAGTATAGAATTTATATAAGAATATAAAATTAAGAAAAAGAGTTTTTATTATCTATTCTATATCTACTTAGTAAATTATAACTCAAGATATTATTGTTGATTATATGCTATTCAAATATTAATAATAAGAGGTGTGGTAACTTAGTGAAGTGGTTAAGTTGTCAACCCCCCAAGTAGTAGGTTGTAAGTTCAAACCTACTGATAGTGAAAAAATTTGGATAATCACCTATGTAATACATAGACGATATTATGGTAACAGTATTCTGTCGATTAGTTAGAATAAGATATCTGTAACTATGATCGCACCAGCATGACTGGCAGGTTATGGGGCATCTGTGTAACCTTGGTTACACAAAGGAATGCAAACCGGTACCAGGCAGTGCAAACCTAAAATAAGTTCTTATGATTGTGTAAATCTGTAGAACTAAGAAACTGGAGCCTACTTGGGAAGACCTGAGTAGAGAGATAACACAGATCTTCGACAGTACCACTGTAAAGGTTAGACCTAGAAAATGGATACCAATGTGGAGAAGCTGAATGGGCAAGAACCTCAGATGAGGGGTATCACCAACCAGGCCACCAGAATTGAACTAGAGAAAAAGGATATCAGGCCAGCTTAATATATTAAGAACAGGTCACAGTTCTCCCAGACTATCTGAATTGAGAGTTTGGAGACAAAGCAGAGGTATATTATAAGTACTAGGGATATGCTGTAAAGTAGATGCTGGGATCTGAATAAACTCTACAAGGGCTAGTCTTGTTAATGTTCTGTAGAGTGGGTAGGTAGTTAACAAGAAGGTACCTTGGAACCTTACAGTTAGGTAACATGCTCTGGAATATGTAACAGCTTGACAGATGTACAAAAAGGGAAGGCTAAATATTGGGTTAAATGACACTTAGGTGTACAGGAACTAGGTGTTACTCACCTGAGTATAGTATAAAGATCAGAGTATTTAAATAGGTATCCTCCTAGTAGATTACAGTCATGGCAGCTAGTGTAGAACTCTTGGGTGAACTATTTAAATAGGTAACCAAAAGTTACATATGTGGCTAGTTGCATACTTACCTTGTACAAGTTCAATATAATGCATTAACTAAAATACAAATAAAGGCAGTAGCTACCGATAACATCAGCCTTAAAACAAAAAAAAAAAAAATTATTAATAATAAATATTAATTTATTGCAATTTGATTTTAGTATATTTTTATTTCTATTTTTATTAATTCAAAATTTTTTTAATAGTTATAAAAACTGTTTGACAACAGAATAACTTATATTATAGATCAAGGTTTAAAACAAATTTAATAAAAAGATCTTTATTAACTATTAAAAAAACTAGTTAACTTTTAAATTTTTTTTTTTTTTTTTTGCTTTCACTAAGGCTATAGTTATCAGTAGCTATTGCCTTTATTGTATTTTAATTATGATTATATAACTTGTACAAGGTAAGTATACAACTAGCTACACATACAACTTTTGGTTATCTAATTTAAGTAGTCTGCCTGCACAGCAGGTTCTACACTAGCTATCATACCTGCAATCTACTAGAAAATTACCTATTTAAACACTCTGATTTCTATACTTATACCAACAAATAGTGCACAAGTTTCTGTACACCTAAGTGCTGTCTAACCTAATCATGACCTTTCTGTCTATACATCTGTCAAGCCATTACACATTTCAAAGTATGTTACCTAACTGTAAGGCTTTCAGGAGACCCTCCTGCTAACTAACTACTCATGTTTAGTATCTTGTTAACAGGGTTCGCTCTTGCAGAGTTCACCCAGACCTTAGCATTAACTTTACAGCATATTCCTAGTACTTTTAGTATACCTCTGTTTCTAATCTCAGACTCCTAATTCAGATAGCCTGGTAGGACTGTAACCTGTCACTAGTATCCCAGAGTCTGTCCTCCAAGGTCTTTTTCCTTCAGTTCAAAACTTCTGGTGGCCTGGTTGGTGATACCTCTCATCTGAGGTTCTTGCTTACCTGATTTCTTCTATATTGGTATCTGTTTCCTAGGTTTAGCCTTTACAGTAGTACTGTTAAAAATCTGTATTACCTCTCTATTCAGGTCTTCCCAAGTGGGCTTTCGGTTATCCTAGTTCATGGATTTATATAGCCACAGATGCCCTATAACCTGCCAGTTATCTGATGTAACCATGTTACAGGTACTGATCCCAACTGATCGATAGATAGCCATCACCGTAATACCAGTTTTAAGGACTTATCTTGTGTTTGTACTGCCCAATGCCAGTTTGAATCCTCTGTATAACTCTAGCATTACACAGATACCCATATACACTAATATAACATAGGTGATTTTCCAAATTTTTGCCATCAGTGGGTTTTGAACTCCCAACCTACTACTTGGGGGGTTGACAACTTATTCACTTCACTAAGTTACCACACCCCTAACTTTTAATAATTAATTCATATAGATTATAGTTCAAAGATTAGATATATTTCTTTCTGACTTTATCTGTTGTTAACTATATAACACAAGTAACTTTAGAATTTTTATATTAAAAATCTTTATAAAGATCTGAATATTTATTTTTAAAATAATATGAGATTTTTAATAGAGATGTACTTATACTTTATTTACTAGGTTAATTATCAGAATCATTAGAATATATTTTACAAATATAAGTTCTGTTTTTATTTAAGTTAAGATAATAATGAATAGGTAATGTTCTTTTTTTTTTATTTTTTTGAACTACTAATACTTTTTTTATTTGAAAAACCACAATGATTAATAGATTTATTACTAATATTATTTTTATTTAAAGAATTGAGAACTAATGAAAAAAATAGGACAAGATATGATTTTAGAGATTTTTAATATAAAAAATTTTTTTTGAAAACAAGATGTAATATTAACAAAAAAACAACAGTTTTTTATTTGTTTTATTTATTATGTACTATAATAAAAAACAAATTAAGTTTTATAAAAAACCTACAATAATAATTAACTTTGATAGGAGTTTCTTATTTTAATAAATCTCTATTAAATTAAAAGTTTTTATTGAATAATTAGAATTGTGAAATTAATATTAATAATCATGCAAAACTTTTGCAAGACTAATTCTTAATAGCTCTTCTCACAAGTCTAATTTTTAATAATTTCCTCTCGCAAGACCAGTTTCCTCCGCAAGACTACTTTTTAATAGTTCCTATCCGCAAAACTGATTTTTAATAGTCCCTCCTGCAAGACTAATTTTTAATAGTCCCCCGTGAAATTTTATGGATCGGCGTAAATTAGCCAATCAAAATGACCAATTCCTGGGACAAAGGACATGCCGACCCCTACATTCGGACTTTGTCTGAAGTCGACTTCGAGTTGGTTCTAAAAAGTCTCTGAGTAGTCGACTCAAGGACCAGGTCCTACAAGCTTTTTCACAGCCCTAGATAGGACATGCCAAAAATGTACGATACAATGTAGATGCACACATTCAAAAGTATTTCGTTCAAAATAAAGTTGAATAATGATTAACTTTATAAATCATGGTACTGTATGTTGCTTTATTCAGTATCATTGATTGACTGATCACACCGGAAAAGATTATGCGCCATAATACTACATAGTGCAATCGAGTTTATAACTTTATATGTAATTATAAGATATAAAGAATTATATTAATATATATTTGTT